GTATTTCCTACAAATCTTGCATCAGGAAGTCCAGAGCAGGAGCTGTTTCTCCTCACTGGGTCCAGTCAGCACAATGTCATCAAGGCAATGGTCCAGCATGATCTCTGGAAGGGGGTGCCCAACAGGAACCCCATGAGCTAAACCACAGCACCGTGACGCTGATGTAGCCCCGAGCTAAGTGGGCCACTGTGAGCAAACTGCTTCCGGTGAACCTGATGGACAGGGATGTCGGAAAGGGCACTGGCCGGAGCAGGAGCTGCACACCAGGTACCAGGAGACACAGTCACTGACTCCAAGCGGGGAAGCCACATCTGGTTCAGCAGCTGAAACTGCGGTCACCGCTTGGTCAAGCTTTTGGTCGCTCACCCACTGTCACTCCCCAGGGCTCGTCAGTTTTTTGCTCAGGCCAAAGGAAAGGGCTGCATGGGGAGACCCAGAAATGCAACCCTGAGCATCTGTCAGCTCCTGATGGTGGCACTGATCTCTGCAGGCCTCCAGGGTGTCAGGCCCCTTCTGATTTCCATCTCCCTGGGTGGAAGCGGCTCTAGCGCCTTTTGTTTGACCTTTCCCACCACAGCAGACCTCGCCCCACAAGTTAGGGAACCATGGTGAGGAGTCTGCCAGCTGCTAAGCACATCTGTTCCAATTACGCATTGTGGAGCCAGAAAAATACGCACAGGCTATGTTTGGGGACCTATCAGACTTACTGTGAGTTGGCCCCGAGCTAAAATTCCACCAACCACCTGACCTGCTTTAATGAGTCCCTCGCTAACTGGCAGCCACAATGACAGTTCTGAGTCCGGGTCCCAGAAGGGCTGTTTCCTGTTCTCTGTTGCAATGTCCCTGATAAAATAAATAAATGGACACAAGTCCCTTGGGGGAAGGCTGGGGTAGCAGTTTGTATTTTTGTGGGTGCACTGGGGTCCTAACTCAGGAGACCCAGCTTCCTGCTTGCTCAGGAATGCAGGGTCTGCAGACTGGCTCGGGCTGGAATCAGCGAGGGGCCTGATTCTTCTGTGGTCTTCGATCTAGCTGGACTTTAGCTCACTCGCCGCAGAGTCTTCTGCTTACACAGACTGAGGAAGCACTCAGCGGGCCTCCGTCTATTTCTCTTCTCAGAACACCGTGATTAACTTGCCAGCGCCACAGATCTGCGCGAGTCAGCCTCTGCTGATTGCTGCTTGGCCTCCGCGGTCCTTTGCAGTAATTGCTAATTACACCCCACCTGCCTCTGGCAGGTGAGCACCGCCCCAGATCCAAGGACTTCCGCTCAGTTTGTTAATTGAGGGACTGACAGACCTTACGGCCTGGTGCACAGAGGAGCGTGGCAGGAGCTCTGCTCTAAGGATGCGGGACCACGCCTCACTGATCTGTATCTGGGAGCACTTAGGCCCACACCTCACAGGCCTAGGCCTCCACGGCAGGCAGAGCAGGGCTGTGCCTGGGCAGATTCTCCTGCCTGGCTCTTCGAGAGGCTCAGGGAGCCTAAGGTCCCTGCTCATGTGGTTTGCCTCCCGGCTGTGGGACTCATTATTTTTAAAGTTGAGTTTTAAAGCAGAGTTGTTTTTTTTTTTTCCTTTTGGGTTTTTGAGGCAAGGTCTCGCTGTGTAGTGCAGGCTGGCCTCAAACTGACATCGATCCTCCTGCTTCAGCCTCCTAAGTGCTGAGATTATAGGTTTACAACACAAAACCAGCAAGAAGCTACCCAGTGGCCCAGAGAGTGGCCCATTGAGCCACTGGGGTACACGGTCCTACCTCTATCCACCCCACCTCCGAGGCAGCAGGGCCAAGCTGACCTTGCAACTTGATTCTCCCCTTCAGTGCTGCTGAGGAAGTATCTACAACTGACCTGACACTGTGCATTTGCATGTGCACGTGGTTACACATATGTCTGCGCCTGTGTACATATGTGCACACTTGTGACATTCATGTGTTGACCCTGGTGGGGGAACCTGAAGACTCATTACTGCCTCCCTTCCACTCCAGTGTAGCCTCCAGGCCTTGGCCAAGTCTTGCAAAGAGGTGGATGGAGGACTCACAGTCCTGGGTTCTTAGGAGTGTATACAAGTTTGTGTCCAAGACTCAAGCAGGAGCCTGGTCCTGGCACAGGCCTATGATGCTGTTTCACTCTGCTGAATGAGGGCTGGCATCACAGCCCTTAGCAGCACAGTGCTGAATACCTGGCTGTGGGTAGATTTGAATTCTTGGACTGGAAAGGATGTTTCTTCGATCAGGTAACCAAAAGTCAGGACAGCAAGGCACCGAGAACGCCAAACAGAAGTCTTTGTCTAGACTCCACTATGTGGCTTTCAGGGGTAGCAAAAGGCCCATGCACCCCCAGGTAAACTGAGGCAATCTATATCTACCTCTCTTTAATAAAATGTTTGGGGTTTTTGGTAATATTTCTAATTTGTCTCGCTTTGTTTCTTGACACAAGGTCTTACTACGCAGTCTAGGCTGAGCTTGAACTCAGTATGTAGCCCAGAGTTGCTTTGAACTCATGGTGACCCTCCTGCCTCAGCCTCCCCAGTGGAGGGGTTACAGATGTGCACTGCCACCATCGCCACCACGCTTGGTTTCTAATAAAACCTTCTTTTTTTTAACTGGTACCAGGGATTGAACTCATGACCACACGCTTGCAAGGTAGGTGCTTATGCCACTGAGCTAAATCCCCAGCCCCCAATAAACACTTTTTAGAACAAAAAGATAAATCAATTCATGCACACCAGCCAGGTCCTACTTCTAGAGAAGAAGGAATGCAGACGTCCCAGCCTCCACTCGTGAACACCACGAGACTCTGAGGCCTCACTAGATGTGAATCACGTCTGCAGGCCAGCATCCCTCACCCTGGAGGAGGCAGGAAGGGGGCTAGCCCAGAGCCCGCATGGTCCTCAGAGCACCACTGGCCTCCACCAGCAGGGACAAGTTAAACATCCACACTGGTTCCAAAGAGGCAAGTTTTACACAGCATCAGCGAGGAACCCGCTGAAGGGTGGACCCCGTCTGGCTGGAGCAACCCAAGACATCTCCTTCACTCCAAAGTGACATCACCCAGGGCCCCAGGCAGGCCCACGCCTTCCTGAGACCCTAAAACCCATCTGCTCTCCACAGGGCTGGCCCCACCGAAGCCTGCACTCCACTCAACCCTGCTTGGCCAGTGGCTACTGCTCTGAGTGGCTCTGCTTTGAGGGCAGCAGCCAGGCTGGGCACAAAAAGAAAGACTTGCAAAGGTACTATAGCTGGCAACTCCACACTTTCCTGTGTGTGTACACACACACACACACACACACACACACACACACACACACGCTCCATCTACTGGATAAAGTGCTCCCTGCAGAAAGAGGAGGAAGAGGAGGAGGAGGAGCACTTCAAATGATCTAATCCATCACTTTGCAGCTGCCTGGCCCGTGACCTCAGTGCCGGGGACAGGAACCAACAGCAACAGCCGGCACTTGGTCTTGGTGCACGGCCCTGGCTGTGCAGTTTGGGTGAGGCAGCCGCCCTCGATGGGGCCCTGCTGGGAAGCAAGGGTGGGCCTAGCTGGATGCCCGATAAGTGGAGCAGGGCTGATCCCAAAACTTCTGGCAGCGGCGTCCTCTATGCTTAACCTGGCATCTTCTGCCTCCTCCAGGGGCAGAGACAGGAGCTGCAGCCTGCACGCCCTCCCCTGAACCCGGGGATGAAATCACCCCCCTCCCCAAGCGCTACCCCCGGACAGAAAATTCTTCCAAGGACACCAAACCTTAGTCACACGGGATGGTGCTTTTGCCATGAACACCTGTTAAAACTCAACTCATGACCGGGCGCTGATGCTACTGGCTGGAGTGTTTAATTAAATATTACTCACTCAGGAAGCGGCCCTTGCCAAGTCACCACCAAACCGTGCAGTGCATTTTCAGAGAAAAAGAGAGGAGGAGGGAAAGAGCCGGCTGCTCCAGTGGGGCACCGGCGCGCGCCTCCTTGACTGGGTGTCTGCTGGAGTCTCTCCAGGCCCACTTTGGACAACCAGCAAGAAGGTCGGGATAAGGGGAGGTCCCCAGCCTGGTTGTCACAGCTAGGGGGACGCACAGTCTTTTGCTCAAGACATTTCACAGATGCATACAAAGACACACACTGTGCCACACAATCATACAGTCACACTGGGCACACATGGTGAGACACAGGGACACACAGACATGCTGGTTTGTGCCACAGAAATGCACTCGCACACACGTGCTCATCACACACACACCCTCTTTGACTCCTCTCAGGAGCGCAGACATTCACGAAGGTACACATTCTCAATGACAACTCCCAGGGAGACCAGCAGGCCCTGATCCCAGGGGAACCACGCTGCACCCCGGTGCTGAGCCTCCGCGGCGGGAACTAGAACAGGACAATCGCCAGGTGCCCGCACAGCCACAGGTGCGGGTGACCGTCGCGCCAGCTCACCTGCAAACCGCAGGGGCGCCGCTGTTTCACCTTTATCGATTTCCTGACAACCCCAGCTCTCCCTGCGTGGCCCCGGAGCCTTGGAGGCTCGGGCTGGGGCGGTGGCGCCCCGGGTGGAACGTGAGCTCCGGGGAGGCGCAGCGGGCCGGGCCGGGCCGGGCCTCTCGGGGCCCAGGCGAGCCGCGCTGCGAACCCGGGGCACGAGCGGCGGCGAAGCGAAACTAACTCCGCCGGGCAGGGTCGCGATGGCCTGCGCAGGGGACAGGGCGGGCGCCCTGTACGGGCGCGGGGACGCAGCCAGGGGCGCCGGGCGCCCGAACTCAGCGGGGGCCCCGAACCCCTGCGCCAACGTCCCCGATGCTCCAGCGGGCGCGACGCCCCCCGCGGGGCCGGGACCCCCGCCGCGTCGCCCCTGCAGGTGGCACCGGAGTCGCCGCCCGAGCCCGCAGCGGACACAGCGCAGGGCGGTGCCCGGGTCCGCCGTCCCCGGGCTCTGCCCGCGCCCCTCCCCGCCCGCACCGCGACCACCGGCCCTCCGCGCCCTGCGCCGGCCACGCGCCACCCACCGGGTGCTGGGGCGCCGCTCTCCGGGCGCCCGGCCGCGCCCGCCGAAAGCAGCGAAGTCGCCTCCTCCGCGGCCCCGGCGCCAGCGCCTGGAGCCTGGATCCTCCGCGAGCGCCGCTGCGAGCGCGATTCCAGGCCGAGCAGCGAACCGGCGGACCGCTTTAAAGTGGAAAAAAGGGGAGCGCAGCGCGTGGGCGGGGCTTCCGGCTCCGCCCCGCCCCGGCCCAACGCCCGGGCTTCAGATCCTGCCCCGCCCAGGCCCCGCCCAGGCCCCGCCCCGCACGCCCCAACGGCCGGCCCCCAACGCCCCGCCCCAGACCCTGCCCCGCCCAATGCCCTGCCCCCAACGCCCCGCCTCAGATCCTGCCCCGCCCACAACCACGCCCCAGACCACGCCCCATATCCTGTCCCGCCCCCGGGCAACGCCCCAATGCCACGCCCCAGGTCCTGCCCCGCCCAAGGCCCCGCCCAAGGCGCCGTCCCCAAGCCCGCCAGGGCCCAGCCTCGGGCGCGCCGCTGCGGGCGTCACGTGCCCGCCGCCCCTTTTCGAGCCCGCTGTAGCCTCTTCACCCAGGCATCCGAGCCACCGTCTGCTGGGCTGCGGTCCCGCTGGAGGCGTTGGGAAAGGCTGGAGGGAGCCCTGGGGCCGGAGAGTGGGAGTTGCATGGTAGCCTGGGCAGCGAGGTCTCTACCTTGATCGCCCGAGCTGCTGTGGTACCCACTGCTGTGTCGCGGTAGACCCTGAGGGCCTGGGCACCTGGGCACCTGGGCGTCAGCAGTGCCCGGCCAACCCCGGGCTGAGCGCGCTAAACGAGTGATTTCCAGGGAGGCGCCCACCTCCACGGACCGCAGGTTGTGGAGTTTCCCTTTGCCTGTCCACACCAGAGCAGTCACTTGGACCCGGAAACTTTTAAAGGAATTACTGTGTTAAGAGCAAACTGGTTAATTTCCCGACCCCACGCTGGGCGGGGTCAAGGTGAGCCCGCTGGGCAGCCCTGCTCTCCCTGTGACTCTGGGTTCCAGGTTCCAGGATCAGGAGGTGGACAGTGGCCGTCAGCAGTGACCCGGGGTGCTTCCAGTTCAAAGAGCTGGAGGAGCTCAACCAACAGAGCAAAAAGCACTGTGCACCTAGCTCAGCGGTAGAGCGCCCCCTAGGTTTGATCCTCAGCGCCAGGCGGAAAAGAAGCGAGCAGTGCGCAGGCGATTTAGCCCCTTGGCGATTTGAGGAAGTTTTTCCTGATGTCCCCTGATCCGGCTGTCCTGGGAAGAGCCACCGTGTCTAGTGTACTGTGCAGGAAGCCTATGTCCCTCGATGGCTTCGTCATCCTGTGCTGCTGCACCCCCTGGGCTGAGGGAAACCCTCCAGGGCAGGCTGGGGCACAGGGCATGCCACTAGAGGGGTGGGGTCGCTTGGAACTCAAAACTCGGATGGGATGGCCCTGAAAGAGACATTCCCGATGAAAAGTCTGCCATCCTGCCCTTCTTTGGCTCTGCTAGGTCACTAGATCTCACTAGATCTTGCTGACTCTCTGGGGTGGACCCTCTGGGGACCCACATTCCTGACAGGACCTGGGCAGGTGGGCTGATGTCACAAAGCTGGTCATCCAGCAGTGATTTGGTGGCTCAGAGCTGGGTTGAGCAATCTGCAGAGCCAGACTGTCTGTAAAAGGCGCTTAAATCATAGGGAAGGCTGATACTATTGTTTTTTTAAAATACAAATTTGTACAAACTTGCAACACTGTAACATCTGCTGATAAACACTGGCCCTGCGGTCAAAGCCTGACTACACCACGGGACTGGGTTGGAAGGGAGGGGCTCTGGGATCCCAGGAGCCCCCCCTCCGTGTATTTCATCACCTGCTGCTAGTGATGCAATTGATACAACTCGCTTACTTCTGTCCTCTGACTCAGTGAAATTACAAGGATACATCATTAGGGAGTGGATTGCTGTTAATTCTTTTCCACTGAAGATTGGGTCATGTCTTAGACACCCTCCCGCCCCTGGGGGCACATTCCTGTTGCCTCAGGAGGTTGGCTGCCCCCTTATTCTCTGAGTTCTTCACGGAATGAGCAAAAGATTTGGAAATTCACGATCCTGATGTAAACCTCAGTGCAACTACACACCAGCTGTGCGACCTTGAACAAGGTACTTTCACTACAGAGAATGTTTCCCTATCTGTGGGCTTGTTCTGCATATTTCTGCATGATTCCCAGGACTGGGGGAGGAGGTTGCAGTCACTCTACAAACACTGACTGAGCACAACCTGTGCAGGGCGTCGGGTTAGAATGAAATCCCAGGTTTCTGATGAGTTCCATCAGAACTCATGAATACCAATGGGCTACCTGTGCATCACTAATGCCCCTTAGGCACCACCCCAAAACTAAGCTACATGTATGCTCCCACACCATGTGTCTGCGGGAGAGAATGCCAGACCCCAAAGAGAGGAGAGAATGCCAGATTCCGTAGGGTCAGGGGGTCTCTCCCCACGTTCTTAAAATAAACGTCCATTTTAATTTCATACTTTCTATCTTTTGAGCCGCGCCAAAATCCTATCAGATGGTTCCTTTCCGCGCCGAAAAATTCTATCATAAACAAAATCAGAGCTGTCCTTAGAGATCTGGATCTTATAACATTCACGAGTCCTTGGGGTCACTGATTCAATTCATGACGGCTGCTGGCTGTTTTCACACAGGATCAGGCACTGTTAGACAGCGACACCTGTTGGCCAAGTTTGGACTGGCACCCTAGCTCTGTTAGACGTGGTTCATCCTGCCTGGGGGAGAGACAGAGCTCCAGAGAAGTTTGAGTGTCTAACCCAGACTTTGGGTGATAAGCAAGTTCCTGTGACTTTGAGGAGGACCAGTGGGTCTTGGTTCTTATGACAATCATTATTGCAAAGTTTTTAAAAGCGTTTCCAGCCAGACCACATGAGCAGGCTTACGTCAGTGCCTACTTTAGCTCTGCACTGGACAAGGTCGTGTTTCTTTCAGGGTAATTCCCTGAAGCAGGGCATCTTGAATATTATACTAAGTACTTGAAATCTCCTTCTCAGTATTGATTCATCTGCTCACTTGATAACTGACTTCTGTTTCAAACAAGGTCTCACCATATAGTCCATGCTGGCCTCAAACTCAAAGCAATCCTCCTGCCTCAGCCTCCCAAATATTAGGAGCCTGGTGTGGGTTAGAGGCATGCACCACCAGGTCCAGTTTAACTTGTTTTTTCAATCAAATTTGATTGGTAATTTTTTGACAAGTTTTTTTTTTTTTTGGTCTTTTTCCTTTTTATCGGTACCAGGGATTGAACTCACGACTGCCTGCTCGCAAGGCAGGTGCTTATGCCGCTGAGCTAAATCCCCAGCCCCCTGTTTGGTAATTTTTTGTTGTTGTTTTTGGCACCAAGGATAGACCTCAAGACCTCGCACTTGCCAGGCAGGTGCTTATGCCGCTGAGCTAAATTCCCAGCCCAATTGGCACATTTTAAATATACATAATAATCACATTCATCATCAAGAATTTGAACCCACACATGCTATGACTTGTTTTTTTCCCCAGCCTCCCTCCATCCCCTCCCAACCTCCCCACTTACAAAAGCTTTGTTCCCGCATTTTCCTGTTCCCATTTAAAAATTTTTTCCCTTCTTTCCTTTCCTCTTCCCCTCTCCCTAGTTCCTCTTTCCATTTGAACATTTTCTTCCTATTTCACAATACCTGTTATATGTTTTGGCTCTTATTTATACTTCTGGTTTCTCACACCAGAGCAACCATGTGGTATATACACCCGTGAGTCCTATTTACTTCCCTGGAGAGTATGGTCTCATGGTGCATCCATTTTCCTAGAAATGTCTTGAGCATGGCCTTCTTTATGGCAGAGTAGTACTCCATTGTATTTTTTAAAACTCCGCACCCTCTTTATCCACTCACCACTTGACAGCCACTTGGGTTATTTCCAAAATCTGGCTATTACAAACAGTGCCACTGTAAACCCACTTTAACCTTTAAATTAAATATTGAGGAACCTAATGAATAATCGTGCTCATCTGCATTTCAGAGAAACATACGCAAAGTAGACCAGGGTGCTGGTCTGGAGAATTTCCATTTAAGTGGAAAAAACTGACGGTAAAAATAAACGGATTCATTTCAGGTGGCGAGAGACAGAGACCAAAGAAGCATTCTGGACATCTCTGGTCCATTTTCCTCTCACTTGAGGGAGGAGAAAAATACTTGTATTCAGTAGCTTGGTTCAAACTTTGAGCTTGTACGCAGAGTCCAGAAAGCTGCTCCCAAATGCCTCCAGTGCCAGGCAGTGCCAGCGGACGGGGACTTATTTCTTGCTGGTCCCACCTCAGGGCTGCTGTGTTGGTGGCCGCCTGACAGCATGTCCAGCCCTGGCCCAGGGTGAGCCCGTCCTCCCCGTGCTCCAGGGAGCCTAGGACACTTTGTCAGGGGAACTGGGGGGTCAGCCGGGGCGGGGAGGCCTCTTCCTCCATGGGGAGGTCCTGGCCCTTGCCCTGTGGCAGAGATGAGACAAAAGAAGAGAGTCACCGCAGTGGTGGCGCAGGCCTAGAACCCCAGAACTCAGGAGGCTGAGGCAGGAGGGTGCGAGAGTTCGAGACCAGCCTGGGCCACATATCAAGACCCTGTCTCAAAACAACTACAACAAAAGCCAGTTACGTTCGTGGCGGGGCTGTGATTCATACGTCTCGCTGCTGGGCAGCTCTGATTAGAGTTTGATCATCGCATCGGCTTGACCCACTCGTGGTGGTACAGGATGATTATCAGAAAACACCAGTGCCACTGTCTGTGGGAAAGCCGGGTGCCGTTACAACAGTTTGCAGGGTCCGCACATATCAGCTGCCTTTCCATATAAAACATTTTAAAATCACAAATATAAATAAGTGTACTTTAATGAAATAAATCTGATTATGTAACATTTTTAGGGGTTTGTTTTGTTTTGTTTTGTTGTTTGTTTGTGTGGCTGGTTGCTGTGTTGTTTGTTGTTTGAGAAGAGCGTCTGTGCAGCTCAGGCTGGCCTTGCACTCACTATGTAGCCCAGACTGGGCTCAAATTCTCAGCGATCTTCCTGCCTCAGCCTCCTGAGTGCTGAGCTCACAGGCATGCACCATCTCAGTCTTGATTATTGCAACTTTGTAGCTATGAATAGTATTACT